AGGACTGTTAGACCATCTAATGAAGGACTATTAGCCCATCTAATGAAGGACTGTTAGACCATCTAATGAAGGACTGTTAGACCATCTAATGAAGGACTGTTAGACCATCTAATGAAGGACTGTTAGCCCATCTAATGAAGGACTGTTAGCCTGAAGGACTATTAGACCATCAAATGAAGGACTGTTAGCCCATCTAATGAAGGACTATTAGACCATCTAATGAAGGACTGTTAGACCATCTAATGAAGGACTGTTAGCCCATCTAATGAAGGACTGTTAGCCCATCTAATGAAGGACTGTTAGCCTGAAGGACTGTTAGCCCATCTAATGAAGGACTGTTAGCCCATCTAATGAAGGACTATTAGACCATCTAATGAAGGACTGTTAGACCATCTAATGAAGGACTGTTAGCCCATCTAATGAAGGACTGTTAGACCATCTAATGAAGGACTATTAGCCCATCTAATGAAGGACTGTTAGACCATCTAATGAAGGACTGTTAGACCATCTAATGAAGGACTGTTAGACCATCTAATGAAGGACTGTTAGCCCATCTAATGAAGGACTGTTAGCCTGAAGGACTATTAGACCATCAAATGAAGGACTATTAGACCATCAAATGAAGCACTATTAGACCATCAAATGAAGGACTGTTAGCCCATCTAATGAAGGACTATTAGCCCATCTAATGAAGGACTGTTAGCCCATCTAATGAAGGACTGTTAGCCCATCTAATGAAGGACTATTAGACCATCTAATGAAGGACTGTTAGCCCATCTAATGAAGGACTATTAGACCATCTAATGAAGGACTATTAGCCCATCTAATGAAGGACTGTTAGCCCATCTAATGAAGGACTATTGGCCCATCTAATGAAGGACTGTTAGACCATCTAATGAAGGACTATTAGACCATCTAATGAAGGACTGTTAGCCCATCTAATAAAGGACTGTTAGCCCATCTAATGAAGGACTGTTAGCCCATCTAATGAAGGACTGTTAGACCATCTAATGAAGGACTATTAGCCCATCTAATGAAGGACTGTTAGACCATCTAATGAAGGACTATTAGCCCATCTAATGAAGGACTGTTAGCCCATCTAATAAAGGACTGTTAGCCCATCTAATGAAGGACTGTTAGCCCATCTAATGAAGGACTGTTAGCCCATCTAATGATGGACTATTAGCCCAAATGTTGTCTGTGATGCAGTTGCGTGTGTAAACCAGGTCCAGCTGGTTGCCTGATTTGTGAGTACCTGTGGTGATGAGCCGTTTGAGATCGAATGAGGCTAGAAGATAGATGAAGTCTGTTGCATACGCCTTTTCTAGATGAATGTTGAAATCACCAAAGACTACGAGTGGGGTGCCATCCTCAGGGAAAGAGGACAGCAGCACATCCAGCTCCTCAACAAAGCTTCCCAGTTGACCTGGGGGGCGATAAATAACTACAATATGGATCCTAATGGGAGTTGTAAGTGTAATTGCATGAAATTAAAACGAGTTGTTATTGCATAGAGAAGAGAGAGTTGAGTATATCCAGTTGTTAGAAATGAGAAGGCCAGTACCCCCACCCCTCCCTGACTGGCGAGGGGTGTGAGAGAAAGAGAAGTTGTTAGAGAGAGCAGCTGGGGTTGCTGAGTCTTCTGGACGGATCCAGGTCTCAGTCAAGCCCAATATATTAAGAGTAGAATAGGGCTGCAACTAACGATTATTTTGATAATCGATTAATCGGACGATTATTTTTTCGATTAATCGATTAATCGGATAAAAAATTCAATTAGATTTTTGTTTATTATGACTAAATAAAACCCGGTTACACTTTATTTTAAGGTGTCCTTGTTACAGTGTAATTATATATTTAAGTACAGAGTAATATTAAGTAACTACATGTACTTACTATAGGAATAGGGTAGGATTAGGTTGAGGGTTAGTTGCATGTAATTATGCATAATTTACTGTTATTACAACAGTAAGTACATGTAACATATGTAACAAGGACACCGTAAAATAAAGTGTTACCTAAAACCCTAAATTAGGATATTTATGTGTAAAAGTGTACTTTAAAAAGTGCAAAAGCCACACATTGAGTTTTACAAATATCAATATTTGCATTGTTTTTAATGATAATTGCTGATGGCAAGTTGACAACCATGATTATTGTAAAAAAAAAAAAAAAACATTTATCCAACATATTGTTTTAACACAATTTTTGTTAAAACAAATTTACAGACATGTTGTTCAGATGTGAAGATATAAACTAAAAACATCTCAAATATATAATTCATTTAATTTTTATTTAAAATTAATTGAATTATAAGGATAATTTGTAAAAAAAAAAATATATATATATATATATAGAAAGACTGAAAACAAGCGTGTAAACATAGAGCCGCAGTAGATCGCGTTTGAAAAACAATTAAAACTTAATAGTAGACAAATGCTATATAAAGAGAACGTAATGGAGGTACGCAGCAAGCTAACAGGCTTGATTAAAAAGACAGGAAAAATGATGCATTAGTGCACAAACATTCGCTGAAAACCACTGAGTACAGTGACTAAAAAAACATAATTTACTGCTGCTGTTATTAACTGCCTTTATATTTAGTGCTTCGCTTTGTAAAGACCGTTTTAATTTAATATTTCTGCGGTAGCACTATTTTAATCCATCACTTATGTTGCGAGCGAACTGATTGCGCAACCTGATGCTCGAGACGCAAAATACAGACATCCCAAGTCTCCCGGAAGTTCTGGAAGTCACCCGCATATTGATAGCGGCTCGCAAATTAGTTCAAACTCCCGGGATTTGAGCACGCAAGCAAGAGCGCGCATGCGAGACAGAAGAGACTGTGCTCCAAACCGTGTAGCGCGAGCGCGCGGCAGAGCAACGGAGGGAGAGAGACCTTGCGTGTGTGCCTCATGAAGCGCGTGTAAGACAGAGAGCATCCTGATTGGCCTGTTTCAACCAATCACCAGTAAACGCTCCCCGTGACGTAAGCAGACCAACTAATCGATAATGACATTCGTTGACAACGATTTTCATAATCGATTATTATCGATTTTATCGATTAGTTGTTGCAGCCCTAGAGTAGAATGAGATGCAAAGGCTGGAATGAAGTCAGCTTTATTTACTGCTGACTGACAATTCCATAGATCCATAGAAAGAGAGAGAGGTGTGTGTGTGGATGAGAGAATAGGACGCAGATTAGCAGTATTGCGCTGCCTTCTGTGCGTGATGAGTGCACGTTGTCGAGAGACAACAGGAATGTATTGAAAGCACATGTTGCGAAAGGGAAATACGATAGAAGTGGGAAAAGGAAAAGGAGAGAAGTCGATACTTAAGTGCCTTGCCGGAGTCCTTGCTCGGTGGAGTCGCACAGGTAGAGTCGATGGTCTTTACCCGAGTCGGTCTTCACACGAGGAGGCTGATACGCTTCCGCTGCCGCTTCCGCAACAGCGCGCGCACTACATAGATATAATGCGTACTTTAACGCCTGAGTGAGGACAGCTGTTTCTGCCCAGCAATTAACACAGCAAACGCAAATTACCCGAATAATGGGAGAAATCGAAACTAGCTGTTGGAAGGCGCTCACTTAAGTGCTATAAAATTTAAACAGCAATACTATTCAGAGCGGCTGTTATATAAAGTGGGAACGCGTCTAATTAAAATACAAATTTGTGAGAAGGCAAAAAAGAAAATAACCAGAAAATCGAAAACAACCTTACCTTGTGGTAGATACTACACTGAAACAACAAGAGAACTGGATATTCAGAAAAACGACTTGCGCGCTCTTGTCTTGTTCACGGCCTGACCGCTTGTCCTGGCCTTGTTCTGGATCACTGCGAGTTTATATCTGTTTTACAGTTGCTGTTTCTGCCCAGCAATTAACACAGCAAACGCAAATTACCCGAATAATGGGAGAAATCGAAACTTTCGAAATTTCGAATCGAAACTTTCCGCTTACCCCAGTAAAACCAGATCTAGCAGGTTTTTAGAAATGCAATGGTCCTTCCTAACCCCCCTTCCTGGGCTTTTGTTGTCCCCACACCTGTGAGGTCAAAAGGCTTTATAATACAGTGATCCCTCTGACCCCCTTGGGCTTTACTGTCTTCACATCTGTGAGGTCAAAAGGCTTTATAATACAGTGATCCCTCTGACCCCCTTGGGCTTTACTGTCTTCACATCTGTGAGGTCAAAAGGCTTTATAATACAGTGGTCCCTCTGACCCCCTTGGGCTTTACTGTCTTCACATCTGTGAGGTCAAAAGGCTGAATACCCCTTAGTCTTTCTGAAGAAAGTGAGCCTCCCACCCCCCTGGGCTTTACTGTCCTCATACCTGTGCGGTCAAAAGGCTGACAACCCTTAGTCTTTCCTGATTACCCATGCTAATGAATTCAGAGGCTCTGTCCGACCATTTGCTTATGTGTGTGTGTCTTTGTTCCTGTGGCCTTACAGGCATACATTCCATGGAGAAATACATGATTGAATTAAAAGAAAAATCCCCCATAATGTCTAAGAAAAAGAAAAAGTAAAATATAAAATTTCTACAACAGTGTGTATGTGTATGTATCCTTGTGTGTACGTATATATTTGTATTCATGTATTTCTCCGAAGTATTTGTATATGCAACCGGAAGATGTTTGTAAAAATAAGTTTGTGGTGTCTTGGCATGACACAGAAATAAATGTAACTATTCACTATTCTATGGTGCTTTAGTGACACACTTTACCCCTCGCTGCACCTTAACCTGAAGCAACTTTACCTAGTAAAGGCTGCCATTCTGGGAAACATCAATCATTTAATGAATGTAATTCTCTTAAGCTACATAATTTATATGGTTATTCAGCAACATCTATGACATTTATAACCTACCATTTATGGATCATGTTATATAAGGCAGAATCTATGCTTCAGGTGTCATGGCTAGTCCAGCCCAGATTGAGTGAGAGACGTGTAAAGATTGAATGCTGTGTGTGATTGCAGGACTGACTCCATACTGGCAGATCTGTCTGTACTTCCTGCTGGCGCTGCTGGTGTGGTTTAGCTTTTACAAGGTGTTCAAGTCCTTGAAGAGCATCTTCTACCCAAATGTTCATCTCCCGCATCACATTCAGGAGGTAAAAACATTTATACTCTTTGTTACATGCTTTGATATCACAAGGTTTCAATGACCTTTGACCAAATATGTGTCAGTTAGTTATGCATATATGAACTGTTTATCAAAATGCAGGGTAACACTTTATAATAACTGCAAGCTATTAAAGTGTAAAAGAGTAAAATTAGACGATCTAATGAAGGACTAATTAGACCATCTAATGAAGGACTATTAGACCATCTAATGAAGGACTGTTAGCCCATCTAATGAAAGACTATTAGACCATCTAATGAAGGACTATTAGCCCATCTAATGAAGGACTGTTAGCCCATCTAATGAAGGACTGTTAGCCCATCTAATGAAGGACTGTTAGCCCATCTAATGAAGGACTGTTAGCCCATCTAATGAAGGACTGTTAGCCCATCTAATGAAGGACTATTAGCCCATCTAATGAAGGACTGTTAGCCCATCTAATGAAAGACTATTAGCCCATCTAATGAAGGACTATTAGACCATCTAATGAAGGACTGTTAGCCCATCTAATGAAGGACTGTTAGCCTATCTAATGAAAGACTATTAGCCCCTCTAATGAAGGACTGTTAGCCCATCTAATGAAGGACTATTAGCCCATCTAATGAAGGACTGTTAGCCCATCTAATGAAGGACTGTTAGCCCATCTAATGAAGGACTGTTAGCCCATCTAAGGAAGGACTGCTAGCCCATCTAATGAAGGACTGTTAGCCCATCTAATGAAGGACTGTTAGCCCATCTAATGAAGGACTGTTAGCCTGAAGGACTATTAGATCATCTAATGAAGGACTATTAGACCATCAAATGAAGGACTGTTAGCCCATCTAATGAAGGACTATTAGCCCATCTAATGAAGGACTGTTAGCCCATCTAATGAAGGACTGTTAGCCTGAAGGACTGTTAGCCCATCTAATGAAGGACTGTTAGCCCATCTAATGAAGGACTATTAGACCATCTAATGAAGGACTGTTAGCCCATCTAATGAAGGACTGTTAGCCCATCTAATGAAGGACTGTTAGCCTGAAGGACTATTAGACCATCAAATGAAGGACTATTAGACCATCAAATGAAGGACTATTAGACCATCAAATGAAGGACTGTTAGCCCATCTAATGAAGGACTATTAGCCCATCTAATGAAGGACTGTTAGCCCATCTAATGAAGGACTGTTAGCCCATCTAATGAAGGACTATTAGACCATCTAATGAAGGACTGTTAGCCCATCTAATGAAGGACTGTTAGCCCATCTAATGATGGACTATTAGCCCATCTAATGAAGGACTGTTAGACCATCTAATGATGGACTATTAGCCCATCTAATGAAGGACTGTTAGACCATCTAATGAAGGACTATTAGACCATCTAATGAAGGACTATTAGACCATCTAATGAAGGACTGTTAGACCATCTAATGAAGGACTATTAGACCATCTAATGAAGGACTATTAGCCCATCTAATGAAGGACTGTTAGACCATCTAATGAAGGACTGTTAGCCCATCTAATGATGGACTATTAGCCCATCTAATGAAGGACTGTTAGACCATCTAATGATGGACTATTAGCCCATCTAATGAAGGACTGTTAGACCATCTAATGAAGGACTATTAGACCATCTAATGAAGGACTATTAGCCCATCTAATGAAGGACTATTAGACCATCTAATGAAGGACTGTTAGACCATCTAATGAAGGACTATTAGACCATCTAATGAAGGACTATTAGCCCATCTAATGAAGGACTGTTAGACCATCTAATGAAGGACTGTTAGACCATCTAATGAAGGACTGTTAGCCCATCTAATGAAGGACTATTAGACCATCTAATGAAGGACTATTAGCCCATCTAATGAAGGACTGTTAGACCATCTAATGAAGGACTCTTAGACCATCTAATGAAGGACTATTAGCCCATCTAATGAAGGACTGTTAGCCCATCTAATGAAGGACTGTTAGACCATCAAATGAAGGACTGTTAGACCATCTAATGAAGGACTATTAGCCCATCTAATGAAGGACTGTTAGACAATCAAATGAAGGACTGTTAGACCATCAAATGAAGGACTGTTAGACCATCTAATGAAGGACTATTAGCCCATCTAATGAAGGACTGTTAGACCATCTAATGAAGGACTGTTAGACCATCTAATGAAGGACTGTTAGACCATCTAATGAAGGACTGTTAGCCCATCTAATGAAGGACTGTTAGCCTGAAGGACTATTAGACCATCAAATGAAGGACTGTTAGCCCATCTAATGAAGGACTATTAGACCATCTAATGAAGGACTGTTAGACCATCTAATGAAGGACTGTTAGCCTGAAGGACTGTTAGCCCATCTAATGAAGGACTGTTAGCCCATCTAATGAAGGACTATTAGACCATCTAATGAAGGACTGTTAGACCATCTAATGAAGGACTATTAGCCCATCTAATGAAGGACTGTTAGCCCATCTAATGAAGGACTGTTAGCCTGAAGGACTATTAGACCATCAAATGAAGGACTATTAGACCATCAAATGAAGCACTATTAGACCATCAAATGAAGGACTGTTAGCCCATCTAATGAAGGACTATTAGCCCATCTAATGAAGGACTGTTAGCCCATCTAATGAAGGACTGTTAGCCCATCTAATGAAGGACTATTAGACCATCTAATGAAGGACTGTTAGCCCATCTAATGAAGGACTATTAGACCATCTAATGAAGGACTATTAGCCCATCTAATGAAGGACTGTTAGCCCATCTAATGAAGGACTGTTAGCCCATCTAATGAAGGACTGTTAGACCATCTAATGAAGGACTATTAGACCATCTAATGAAAGACTGTTAGCCCATCTAATAAAGGACTGTTAGCCCATCTAATGAAGGACTGTTAGCCCATCTAATAAAGGACTGTTAGCCCATCTAATGATGGACTATTAGCCCATCTAATGAAGGACTGTTAGACCATCTAATGAAGGACTGTTAGCCCATCTAATGATGGACTATTAGCCCATCTAATGAAGGACTGTTAGACCATCTAATGATGGACTATTAGCCCATCTAATGAAGGACTATTAGACCATCTAATGAAGGACTATTAGACCATCTAATGAAGGACTATTAGACCATCTAATGAAGGACTATTAGCCCATCTAATGAAGGACTATTAGACCATCTAATGAAGGACTGTTAGACCATCTAATGAAGGACTATTAGACCATCTAATGAAGGACTATTAGCCCATCTAATGAAGGACTGTTAGACCATCTAATGAAGGACTGTTAGACCATCTAATGAAGGACTGTTAGCCCATCTAATGAAGGACTATTAGACCATCTAATGAAGGACTATTAGCCCATCTAATGAAGGACTGTTAGCCCATCTAATGAAGGACTGTTAGCCCATCTAATGAAGGACTATTAGCCCATCTAATGAAGGACTCTTAGACCATCTAATGAAGGACTATTAGCCCATCTAATGAAGGACTGTTAGCCCATCTAATGAAGGACTATTAGACCATCTAATGAAGGACTATTAGCCCATCTAATGAAGGACTGTTAGACCATCAAATGAAGGACTGTTAGACCATCAAATGAAGGACTGTTAGACCATCTAATGAAGGACTATTAGCCCATCTAATGAAGGACTGTTAGACCATCTAATGAAGGACTGTTAGACCATCTAATGAAGGACTGTTAGACCATCTAATGAAGGACTGTTAGCCCATCTAATGAAGGACTGTTAGCCTGAAGGACTATTAGACCATCAAATGAAGGACTGTTAGCCCATCTAATGAAGGACTATTAGACCATCTAATGAAGGACTGTTAGACCATCTAATGAAGGACTGTTAGCCCATCTAATGAAGGACTGTTAGCCCATCTAATGAAGGACTGTTAGCCTGAAGGACTGTTAGCCCATCTAATGAAGGACTGTTAGCCCATCTAATGAAGGACTATTAGACCATCTAATGAAGGACTGTTAGACCATCTAATGAAGGACTGTTAGCCCATCTAATGAAGGACTGTTAGACCATCTAATGAAGGACTATTAGCCCATCTAATGAAGGACTGTTAGACCATCTAATGAAGGACTGTTAGACCATCTAATGAAGGACTGTTAGACCATCTAATGAAGGACTGTTAGCCCATCTAATGAAGGACTGTTAGCCTGAAGGACTATTAGACCATCAAATGAAGGACTATTAGACCATCAAATGAAGCACTATTAGACCATCAAATGAAGGACTGTTAGCCCATCTAATGAAGGACTATTAGCCCATCTAATGAAGGACTGTTAGCCCATCTAATGAAGGACTGTTAGCCCATCTAATGAAGGACTATTAGACCATCTAATGAAGGACTGTTAGCCCATCTAATGAAGGACTATTAGACCATCTAATGAAGGACTATTAGCCCATCGAATGAAGGACTGTTAGCCCATCTAATGAAGGACTATTGGCCCATCTAATGAAGGACTGTTAGACCATCTAATGAAGGACTATTAGACCATCTAATGAAGGACTGTTAGCCCATCTAATAAAGGACTGTTAGCCCATCTAATGAAGGACTGTTAGCCCATCTAATGAAGGACTGTTAGACCATCTAATGAAGGACTATTAGACCATCTAATGAAGGACTATTAGACCATCTAATGAAGGACTATTAGACCATCTAATGAAGGACTATTAGCCCATCTAATGAAGGACTATTAGACCATCTAATGAAGGACTGTTAGACCATCTAATGAAGGACTATTAGACCATCTAATGAAGGACTATTAGCCCATCTAATGAAGGACTGTTAGACCATCTAATGAAGGACTGTTAGACCATCTAATGAAGGACTGTTAGCCCATCTAATGAAGGACTATTAGACCATCTAATGAAGGACTATTAGCCCATCTAATGAAGGACTGTTAGCCCATCTAATGAAGGACTGTTAGCCCATCTAATGAAGGACTATTAGCCCATCTAATGAAGGACTCTTAGACCATCTAATGAAGGACTAT